TTGAATGTGGTTTTATATATATGTATATGGATGTTTTTAGTCCTTTGGTGTTTTAGTATTTTTAATGTTTTTAGATTGTTTTTATGTTCCCAAATTTAATAATGTGTCTTGATTTTGCTGGTCAATGACCGTAATAAAATATTTCGTATTCGTAACCACTGAGGTGGTGGAAGGTGGACATCTATGGTACAGGTATGATAGTCCCTTGAGGAAACATTGACTGAAAAAGTTAGCTGCAGAAATGTAGACCTTGAGGGACAAGAGAGAAAGACTCTTAGTTTTTAACTGCAATAAAAAAAACATAAGACAGTGGTAAGAAAGGAGTTGGTTGAGGAAAAAGATGATGCTGCAGTAAAAGTTTGAAATTTTTTCCATTCAGGAAAATGGTTGAAGGTTTCTTTACATGATGAATGACATACATCAGTGAGGCCAAATCCTCCACGCTGCAAGATGAAGAGCAGGGAGATCTGGGTGGAGAATTTTATTTTTGTTCTGTATGCGCAGGTGAGGTAGACGGGGCAGGTGATAAATGTCAGATGACAGCTGGTGGAAAATTGGGAACCATGGATGTCGTAACTACCATGGAGCTGTCAGGATCGCATTGGGCCTGTCCTGGTGAAGCCGGACTACAATTTTGTGGAGGAGCGGGAACAGTGGAAACAGGTAAATGAGTGACTTGGGCCAACGGTCAATGAACTCCACAGGGGGTAGACTATATTTTGCTATGTAAAGCTTGCCATTCTTTTCTACTGTTGGCAATGTGGGCGTGATATTATTCAGGCATGGTTTGGCCAATGGCTGCCCAGCTGATCCATGGTGTAGTACCCCACCTTGTCCATGGGCACCCACAGGAATTGCCTGGAGAAGGCTGGACAGGGAGGCCAGTGCCTTGAAACATAACAATATAAGTGTGATGTTTACCCCATAGCCCCAGCTTGTTTTCCCAAATCTAGAGCTCATGAAGATATCCCAACACGCCTCTTGACACGCTGCCACCAGTTGACCCCTTTATCAACTTATCTCTTATGAAAGACTAAGGTCCATCCAGTACTGACTTTTTAACAGAAACAGGTTCATTGATTACATGTGGTTTCAGGTATAATTCTTAAGCACATTCTTAAAGTTCCACAAAGCTTTAACATTTTACTTTAATCTCTTCTATATTGATTAACACTGGTCACACTCTGACTAATCACTCCTTAAACATTCGCTGCCTCAAAACCACAAACTATTCTCTTCTCCAGCTTTCTCTGACTCTCTTCAGCAGCCTCTTTGGCTCCGCCTCATAATCTCATTATCATACAACTTATGAATAATGCATAACTTATAATGCGTAACTCAGAGTGACAACAAAGGCACCATTCCCACAGGTCGACCGCGAGGTATAAAAGACTTGGGGAGTGAGTGTCCCCTTGTTTGAGAATATATCATGGTGGTGTTGTCTGTGGCTATTTGAGCCATTTTGCTGACGAGATGGTTTTTGAAAGCTTTGCAAGCTTTTATTACTGCTAAGAGTTCTAGCTTGTTAATATGGAGCAGTCTCTCTCTTTGTGACCACCAGACATAGATTTGCAGAGATCTGAAATGGGCACCCCAGCCGGTAAGGCTGGCATCTGTAGTAACCTGGATTTGTGGGTGGGGTTGTTGAAAAGGCCATCCCATCATCAGGTTCTGAGTGGAGTGCCACCATGTAAGCTGGGAGGCGAGTTCTGGAGTGACTCGCAGCAACATATGTGGTGAGTCTGTCAATGGGTTGAACAAGGCTAGGAACCATGCCTGGAGTTATCTTATTTTGAGGCGAACATGCTGAACCACAGCAGTCATGGACACCACAGTGCTTAAAGCACGTTGGACGGTTAAGGCAGATACGGGCGCATGAGGAGTGAAGGAACGTAGTAAGGAGATTAGATTGAGGCGTTTGTCTGTTGGAAGAAATGCCCGAGCATGTTTGGAGTCTATAATTGCTCCTATATAATGAACCAGCTTTGTGGGTTTTAACTTGGATTTGTGTAGATTTACTGCAAGGCTGAGATCCTGGAGGTGAGACAAAATTAAGTGAATGTCTTGTTGTGCTTTGCGATGGGAGTGTGCCATGAGCAGCCAGTCATCGATGCACGGGGAGATGTGAATTTTGTGATTGCGCTGAGGGCATCGCTGGTATGTGGGGCAGACTCCCAAAAGCCTGGCAGCTGTCCTATTTTTCTAAACATTCTCAAGAATGGTTAGGCAACGATTGGGGCAAATGGCATCCCGATGATGGTCTCTTTCCGTGCAAGAAGTGGATGCTCATAGAGGCTTGATGCCTTTGTTGATGTGCTGGAGGCCGAGGTGGTAGGCCTACAGGGGCACAGTAAGGCACAGTTTCTGGTTGCGTTTAGCGCCATGGATGTCTGATGAGGGAATTTGTGAAGACTCACCCAGAGAGCCCGAGGACTGTCACAGGCTGTCAGGGGAAGCCATGAGTCGATCCACATGCTGTCCCTATTCAGGAGACTGCAATGGTGAGGTTGATGAGGTGGAAATGCCTCCTCATCTGAAAGAGAACCGAGGTAGATGAGGTTCCCAGACTCCGGTGGTTGTGGAGTTGAGGAAATGGTTGTGGAAGGCTTTGATTTCAAAGACTTGACCTTCTTCAGTGGTGACGGTTCTGATGCTGAAGAAGCATCCAAAGCATCATCAGTATCAAAAGGGTCGGTATTGAGGTGTTTCAACATCGAATGTTTGGCTTTGTGCACTCGTGTGACCGTCAATATCGAGAGCAGAGCGGAACAAGAGGGAGTAGCTGACAGGCCTTGTTCTGTCGCTTCGGAAACAGCTTCATCCATGGCTTAGAGATTGCTCCCAGAGCCAAAGCTTGAGGAGATCTCCGCGTTTAAAGTTTTGCAGTGAGGGGAAGAGTAAGCCTGATGGTTTCACCAAGGCAAAAAAGGCATTTAGCATGGCCGTCAGAGTGAGCTCTCATTATCGCAGGTTACACAGCTTTTAAATGGGCCTGAAAAGGCCATGAACCGAGAACCGATTTAGAAAAGAAAACAACGGAAAGGTGGGAGCCTCCTTAAGGCCAGAGTGTATCTTTTGAAAATAATAAGGATAATAATAATAAATAAAGTTCAATAACTTTCCTTCTTTCGTTTCTCGCAGAAGCAATGATCAAGGCTCTTAACGAGGTGGTTGAAAGAAACTGAAGGGAGCGCCTATGCTAATGTATTTTCCTTTGCTACCGCAGAAGCTCTAGAATATTCTGATGAAGCTCTGAATATGCGCAGATTAACTATAGAGTGATTCACAGAGGCCCCCAAAAAAACTAGCCGCCTAGAGTGGTCTTTTGAGCTAGATGGGTGGGGTATAAATCAAGTAAATAAAATAAAATAAATAAAATAAATACTTTTCCTTCCAGAAGGAACTATGTGTCTACTGCCAGTTATCTTGGGATGGCAGGTCTGAAGGGAGAAAGAGGCCGGACACTCCACTAGGCGGGGGCCATTAGGTGGCTGCATTTCCTCCCTTTTTTCTAAGGAGAAATCAACTTGAAACCTATTCAATGGCCAATGAATGTACAACTAACTCTCATATTTGCTTTCCCCTTTCCCTCTCATTCCCTCTTTCTCATCTTTATTTGACTGTGAGCCTACAGGCAAGGGCTGAAATCCTACTGCTTAATGCAGCGACCTGCAGGTCCACTGAACCAATGAAACATATAGAGGAACAGACTTAAATCTCCACTAATTCAGTGAGCCTTCTCTAGTTATGACTTACTATGCTACGCAACAGGATTCCAGCCACTGTTTTCATCTATGGGCATCACTTACCCAATTCCAGCACCTTTGATTACTGGCAAAAACAAAATAAAAAGAAACTAGCAAGTGATAAAAACACAAAAACATGGTGGTGCCTTAAAGACTCTTATATTTTAATGTGGGGTTTCATGGATAAAATCCACTTCCTCAGACATAAGAGAGAAATATAACATGGCAAATATTTATACATGCCATCAAAATATAGAGATCGTAGAAGGTTAGTAAGAACGTCAATGTGTTATTTAACTGTGGGGTGACGGCCTGTTTGGTATTAAAATCTATCCACTGAAGCTTGTGTTGTAAGAACCTCTGTCGTAGAATAACAATGGTAGAAATAATATGAATGTCAAATATACAAAAGAGACTGGGCTTTCTATGGTTTTTAGTGACCTTTAAGACCTCTGTTAAAGGATATTCAGTTCCTTTATAGGTTTTGTAAGTACCTTATCAGTGAACAACAAAAATAATGTTCTAAGGACACAATTACAACATTTTCACTTATACACACAAGGCATGGTTGTTGTGGTTGTGGTTGCTTTTAGTATTAAAAAAACCAAAATCCATCAAGTGGAACCAGACTCAAAACATATTGGGAGTGGATTGCCATGTTGGCCAGTAAAAACTTTAAGCTTTCATTTGGCATTAATTCAGGTGGAATGGGCTACAGTCTACGTTTGGTTAAACATGTTAATCTTTCAGGTGCCATAAGAGTCTATTGTTTGGGCACAGCCAGATGCAAACAGGTAACAGGAGGTGGAACCAACAGCCTCCTCCACTCCACAAGCCATGCAATAGTGGACATGCATATAGGAGAATAAATCAACATAATTGTATAGATCTAGAATTTTAAAAGCCTATTTTAAGGGGGTAGCGAGGTCCATTTGTTCTGTGATTGCAGAACAACTGGAGGTAAGTCACCCTCAACAATCTGCAGGAAATCATTCAATAAACGGACCAGCAAATCCCAATCTTCATTCTACCCCATCCTAAACCTAAGTTAAAGAAATCTTAGTGTGCACCAGAAGTTAGACAAGTCACGACACTTCTTCTGAACGAGGCGCCTGAATTCCAAGGAGCTGTCCGTGAGGTCCAGCTCACAGATGCAAGGGGATGTCCTCTCCCTCTTCTCACTAAGGGGCTGAGAACTAGAAGCATAGCTAGTACCTGTGGTGGGTTTATGTCCAAAGATTCCATTGAAGAAAGCAGGCATGCGGATGCTGCCCCCAACGTCTGAGCCTACCCCGATCACAGAGCCCGCCGCTCCCAGAATAGAGCCTTCTCCTCCTGGGGGAAAACAAAGGCCAGACTGGCATCGTCCCAAAGAACACGTACAGTTCCCACTCACAACATCTGTAATACGGTGACTTAAAATACACAAACGGGCATCCTCTTAAATCTTTTTAAAAAAATACGTACATACTTATTGTTTTTAGCTTTAACATTGCCTTTTAATGATGTAAGATGCTCTTTATACCCATTGTTCTTAGCTTTAACGATGGTATTTTAATTATGTTAACCACTGTTGTATAGTCATTGTTTTCAACTTTAAATATTGTCTTTCAGTGTTATAAGCCGCCTTGGGTCCTTTTCCAAGAAAAAGGGCGGAGTAAAAATATTTTAAATAAATGCATTGCCCCTGAGTAAGGATTACAATGGGCGGAGTAAAAATATTTTAAATAAATACACTGCCCCTGAGTAAGGATTACAATATCACTAGCAAGGGTGAGACTGTTGGCAATTAAAGAGTTCATCCTTCCATCTCAGGAGTTATTCATTTATTATTTATTTCTGTCATTTACACACAGCCCCATTACTATTCTGGGCGGTGTACATATAAAAACAGCAAAGTGACTCAAATCCAATAGAATAAAAAAACAACCCACCCCAACAGCAAAATAAGACAACCTCAAAGCCCGATGGCTCCATGAATCAAGAGCGGCCATGCAGGGGTGGATCGCTTCAAAGGAGGCTGTCTTTGAAAACCTCTCGAAGGGGAAGGCTTGAGATGAGTTGACCTCAGTTTGCCCACAATCATCTCACAGCAGCTCAGTCCCCGGACCAAAGCAAAAAACTATTGAAGTAGTGGCACTCCAACTCTGCCAGTGATGCAGGGTTGCTATTTATTCAGCAGGATTTAGGCCAAAGTAAATGAAGGGACATGGTGGCGGTGCAGGTTAAACCGCTGAAGCCTCTGTGCTGCAGGGTCAGAAGACCAGCAGTCGTGAGATCGAATCCACGCGATGGAGTGAGCTCCCGTGACTTGCTCCAGCTCCTCCCAACCGAGCCATTCGAAAGCATGTAAATGCGAGTAGATAAATAGGCACCACCTCGGTGGGAAGGTAACAGCGTTCTGTGCCAGTCGCGCTGGACACGTGACCACGGAAACTGTCTATGGACAAACGCTGGCTCTATGGCTTGGAAACGGGGATGAGCACCATGCCCTAGAGCTGGACACTAGACTAAATGTCAAGGGAAACCTTTACCTAAATGAACCCCACAGACCTCCACCAGGGCGCCAGCACTCACCCGAGCTGCCTCCTACGATGCACTGAAGGTCATATGGGTTGTTGCTTCGGCCATAAACACGATTGCTCGACTCAAACCACATGCATAGCTCGCTGCAGTTGGTCACCCCCAGCGGAATAGCACCGGCTTGCTTTAAGCGCGAGACAACAACAGCGTCTGACCTGGAGATGATGTTGCGGCGGTTTACCAGGCCAGAGGTATTGGGCAGCCCTGAGGGAAACAAAAACGAAACCAAGTCAGAGATTTCCGCACCAGTCAAGATAATCGTAATAAGGAAACTGATGAGGCCAGGATGCTGGGGATCAACCACTCACTCCACGGCATCCCAATTACACACTCAAATTCCAGCACCGTCCCAAAACGGCTGTAATGCGGCGGGAATAAGTAGGCACAGATTGGGCTCCTCTGTGACTCTGCATCAAGCAAGGATGTGGGTTCTGTTACAGGCCAACTATTTCTGGCCTGTAATAAATAAGACAGTGTCCTCCTCATCGTTCAAGTATCCCAGCAAATGGGAACAACTCACCACCGCTCTATTGCTCACCCAAACAAAAGGGAATTAATGAAAACACATTTTAAAAGAGCAAAACAGATTTGGCTCATCATGTGATTTATTATCGGCTTCCTCTTTTCAGCCAGTTTCTTGATGTTCCAAAGCTCTCACCCTCCTTCATCTGTACAGTTTGTACAGCACAGAGGAAGGGAGGGCAACGTAGGGCCTTTGAGATATTGTGGGGACTCCAATTCCCATTAGTCCTAGCAGCATCAATGCAGAGGAGGGTGCTGACAGTTGTAGTACACATCTGGGGAACCATAGATCTCTCCTCAAATCAACTCTATCTCTGCAAACACACCCTCTTTCTATGTCCACGCATGCATGGATGCATATATGTTTGCACAAAGGGATACAGTTTAGACAAGCAGTAGGGCCTGAAGAGTAACTGCAGAAACGCGTAATGTTGTGGCTGAATCTTGCTTGCCCACTCCCCACCCCTACCTAGATTCTCTTGACTCAGCCTAGTAATGCAGAAGCCGGCTTGACTGATGAGGGCTGGAGTGGCTGCTTGGTTAGCCATGCTACCTTTTCCATCAAACGCTCTGAACTACAATTAAGGACTTGGGGAGAAAAGAGGTCCGGAGAAGATACATGGCTTTTAATCACAGGCCTGGGATGGTTGTGGAATTTTGCCACTCAACGAAAGGGGTGCATGCTGTAAAGGTGGTTGAGTGCCTTGCACCAGGAGTGGCAGGATACCTTCCTCTTCTATCTACCAGCGGGTACTCAGGGAAGGTAAGTAGAGCTCCCCAAGGCACGTACCCTGCAACTCAAAGGCCTCTTTGACAGTGACAGGGACCCCCAGGAAGGGGAACTTTTCCTGCAGCGCCTCTTCATCGTCATGGCACTCAGAGAGCAGCTTGTCCACTTGATGAGCCTCCTGAAGAGCTGCTTCAAACCTGAGAGGGAAAGTCAGGCAAGAACAAGAAGAAAAAAGAGGAGAAATTATTAGTCTCTAATTGAATGCTTTAACTGGTCTCCTAGAACTGCACATCATGCAGCAGTTCTAGAAGAGGTGGCCATGTTAGTCTGGGAGGGCATATCAGCAGAAACCAAAAATAAAAATAAAAATAAAAAAGTCTGAGGAATGCAGGAATAGGCAATACCTTTATAGATCACTAACAAAAAAAATCATCATACAATACACGAGCTTTTCTTGATGGACACAAATCCTTTGGCTTGTATCAGTGTGAAGAACTTTGAATTCCAAACGTTAATGGCAAAATAGATTTCACCATGTCTTTCTTAGATGTAAGTCAGGAGAGAGACAGGAAGCAAATACAGTTGCTGTTTTAAAGTTACAGCTAAGGGAGCTGTGGAGTGGATATCACATCCCAGTTTTTGAAACAAAGAAGCACAGGCCTCTCTTCCATAGCACATAGAAGTGCAGGCACATTTCCCCACTTGGTCACTCTTTGAAACATCTTTCTGCTTGGCGTGCGTGTGCGTGTGCGACACACCTGAACCTGGGTAGTAAACTTACTAGGTTTCTTGCTCACATCAAAACATAGAACTTAGTCTTCTAAGTACTAAAACATTTTTGTTGTCTTTATTTTTCTTTTGGCTTTGCCACTATGTTCCAGTTATTCTGCCCCGATTATCATTTTGGGTCCACCCCCACTGGAGAAGAAGGGGAAACGAGTCAACAGAGGCAGCTTAAAAGGGGAAAGGAGAGAGCACAATCACCTGGGAAATCTCCAGATTTATTTGCAAAGTGCCAAAGTGGGTCATTCTACAGCTAAGGTTCTGATCTTGGACAAGGAAAGAAAAAGCACTCCCTCCCACCCCCACTACACTGTCCTGCCCCATTAATGTCCTCAGACCGTAGATTTGCCCAGTTCTCAGCTGGGGAAAAGGCTAGGTAGCCCAAAAGGTCAATGAAAGGATAAGGAAGTGTTCTGAGAATGACTCCCAAGATGTTTTGTTTAAGACTGGATAAGTACAAATTAGTTTACTCTTGCAACAGCCGTGTAACAATTCACAACCATGCAAAAGGCTTGGCAGAATTCCCTGGGCTCCAAAAGTAGGCCACGGTCTTGAGACACAGGAGAACGTAGCGCAGTAACACCCTCCCCCCCGCCTGCATTTTCTCCCCAGGCTTTAGCCAGCCAAGCTAAAAACTGACTGGAGAAAAGACTTCAGGCTGAGCATTTTATTTCATGTGGCTAAAAGCCCAAAAAAAGCCAAACTGACAGGATGATCCTCACCTGTCTTTAACAACAGCGTTGATCAGTGGGTTGACTTGTTTGATCCTCGCAATGTACGTTTCGGTCACATCAACACACGTTACCTGCAAGAGATCAGAGGGGTATGTCTTCAAGAAAGGAATACCAAGGTGGTTTTCTGAGCAGACAACAGAATATCATTGCTATTATGCTTTTGAAATATTTTATTTTGTAAAACATTTTCACAGGTTAGCACTAGAGATGGGCTGGTTTGTACTTTGGCCGAACAGGTGTTGATGCTCCCTAGTCCCACCTCCTACAGGTGCTATCGCCTTACCCCGGGGCACTGCATCTGAGTGGGTGCCGGCCAGAGGCGGCGGGGCTGAGAAGCGCCGGACACCAGCCCAAGTACAAAACTGAGCTTCATGCCCATCTCTAGTTGGCACTCAGCAACATGGACAGAGTGTTGAGAAACCTAGGTTTGAATCTCAGTTAGTCTTGACAGATGAAGCCAATACTGTGGGAAAACCCATAACCCTCTGAATATGCATGAATGACGACAGCCAGAAATAATCTCGAATTATTCTCTCTAGTTCAGCCTACTGTGCCTTAAGACTGGATTTGCACAGAGAAATGGGAGGGGGAAAAGGTATACCATCCTGTGGTATTTGGAGGAATATTAGAATGCTAGTGTAATAATAATGTAGAATGAGGTGTGCAGATTTCTGTTTTTAGAACAAAACTTCTAGAGTTTCTGTATGAGGAGTTTTGGTTGTTATAGGATAAAAACACAAATCTACACCCTTCTAATAGATAAGTAGGACAAAACGCAAAAAAATAATTCAGAGGACACCTCTCCCTTGAACTGCACGGGTCTGAGCAGCATCGTTTTGGTTATATACCTTTTTTTCAATCGATAAATGAATATTCAATAACTACTGTGCCCCTGTCCACCCAGAACCCCATGAGTTCAACACTGAAGGTATCAATGTGCTCTACTTGCCCCCAAACACAACATCTCTAATTTAGCATCTCTAGATCAAGGGGTCATAAGACCCTTTAAGGCTCATTACACACAATACTGCATGGAAAGGACTGTCAGTGCTATGGGAGAGAGAAGCCTGATATAGGGAACTGTTCTGTATGTCTGTGAGTGTCTGCATGAATCAACTATTTATGTTTTGTATTTACATTTTGGAAGGCATAAGAGTTATACACCAATTTTGAACTACACAGGGGTCTGGTGCTCCTAAATCCTTATTGAAGGGAGAAGTGCACTTATGAAAATGCACACAGCTTTCAGGTTTCCCTTTAAACCACCCAAGAAAATCCCGAGTTTATTGGCAACATATATCAAAAAACTTGGTGGGGGGAAAACCACGTTCCTATCACTGATGTGGAGAGACTCTCTGCTGCCCTGACGCATGGAAGACCACAAGGCAACAAAATAAAGTATGAAGATTTACTCCAACGCAAGAACCAGTAAAAATAACTGGGATTCATGTGACACAAGTATAAATGAAAATGTGGCCTCGAAACAACAGGTTCCCTGAGAGGAGGAGTCTGAGGCTTTGGCTGCATGGCTTCCCTGGAGCCAGCCGTTGCCAGCTGAGCAGAGAGAAAAGCCCTCTTGTTCTTGCTTGTCTCCTCCTGGGTTCCAGGAGGAAGTTTTCACTTTTGCTTTTGTTTTGTTTAAAGTGATGGAGTGCACATGTGCTGCCCTAATTCACTTTAAAAAAAATTCCCCCACTTCCTCGGTCCCTTTACAGAGCCAAGGAAGTGTTTAACTTGCCAATGTCTTGAAGTGGCTCTCTTCTCAAGTCACTTGGCCTTAGGTTCATGTCCAGTGACTGCATACTTTGGAAATGATCCAAATCAGAGCAAACATACCTACATAAAAAAATTTGAAAGCACCTGAATGAGGCCAGAAAAGTGCAGATAGATAGAGGACGATTCTGAGGGCAGATTGATTTGCTCAAACAAAAAGATTGTCTGACAGATGTCTTTAAAAGCAAGCAAGCCAGCCTGTCCCTGCAGTGGACCAAACAGACGGTTAAACAACCATCTAGTCACCCTGAGTCACTTCCATACAAAGAAAATACATACATCTATCATGAGTCACTTCCATACAAAGAAAATACATATATCTATCACCTAACCCTCTACAGTACCAACAATTCTATCACCAATATGATGTTATAGCAAGGTAATCTCAATCACTGTGGATTAAAAACTTTGAAAGGCTCCTTTTAAGACCAGATATGGTAAACAGATACAGTGGGGTCTTGACTTGAGAACTTAATCCGTATTGGAAGGCGGTTCTCAAGTCAAAAAGTTCTCAGGTCAAATCTGCATTTCCCATAGGAATGCATTGAAAACCATTTGATCCGTATCTGCTCTTTTCCGTCCATAGAAACTGACAGGTGTTTTTAAAACCAAGCAAGCAAGCCTGTCCCTGCAGTGGACCAAACAGACGGTTAAACACCCATCAAGTCACCCTGAGTCACTTCCATACAAAGAAAATACATACATCTATCACCTAACCCAGGGGTCCCCAACCTTGGGCCTCCAGATGTTCTTGGACTTCAACTCCCAGAAATCCTAGCCAGCAGAGATGGTGATGAAGGCTTCTGGGAGTTGTAGTCCAAGAACATCTGGAGGCCCAAGGTTGGGGACCACTGAACAGTACCAACAATTCTATCACCAATATGATGTTATAGCAAGGCAATCTCAATCACTGTGGACTAAAAACTTTGAAAGGCTGCTTTTAAGACCAGATATGGTAAACAGATATGGTAAAACAAGTAATGATTTTCTTTCTACTCATTAACTATACAATTTGTGTTAACTGCAAAAAAAAGTGTACCTACAACTCTTTGCATTAGTTTCCTTTTCTTTTTCAAATCAGACACTTTGTGTGATTCTGGAATAACTAAATCAATTACACAGATGCATAAAAGTTTAATTGTGTTCAGCCGTAACATTCAAGTATAGTTTATAAGTGGTGCACGCACATGCAAAAGAGAGTCTGCACAAAGCCTTGGATTTGAATGGACTATCCCCACTTACTTCCTCCCATGTAAATAAGGAACAAGAATCAACTAGGATTTTACTTTATTTTCGCAAAGTTTAAGTCCTGAAGCTGAGGCTCCAGTACTTTGGCCATCTCATGAGAAGAGAAGACTCCCTGGAAAAGCCCCTGATGTTGGGAAAGTGTGAAGGTAAGAGGAGAAGGGGACGACAGAGGATGAGATGGCCAGACAGTGTCATCGAAGCGACCAACATGAATTTGACCCAACTCCGGGAGGCAGTGGAAGATAGGAGGGCCTGGCGTGCTCTGGTCCATGGGGTCACGAAGAGTCGGACACGACTCAACAACTAAACAACAACAAGTCCACTTATAGGTGCAAATCAGGCATTAAGGTTTAAAATGAATTCTGGCTCCATAAACAAGCCACCTTCGTAACTTACAGTTTGAACTTGACCCCTCAGACACTGAGGTGCTAAACAAGCCACTTCCATAACTCACACTTTGAACCTCAACCCTCTTCCCTCCCATCTTTTAAGGGAATGTTAAAGACTGTCTTGTTTGAAGAGGCACTTAAGGACATCCTCACCTAAGTCAATTGGTATGGGTTCCTGGTTTTGCCATCACATGGGCTTTTTATTTATTGCCTTAACTACTTAGAGGCATTCAATACTGGTATACTGGGTGGAAGGTTTTGTTGTGTTGTCTTATCGTAAGTCACTCAGAGTAGGGCTTTGCACTAAATCAGTGGTATAAAAATGCATGAAACTTCCCTCCCATCTTTTAAGGGAATGTTAAAGACTGTCTTGTTTGAAGAGGCACTTAAGGACATCCTCACCTAAGTCAATTGGTATGGGTTCCTGGTTTTGCCATCACATGGGCTTTTTATTTATTGCCTTAACTACTTAGAGGCATTCAATACTGGTATACGGGGGGTGGAGGGTTTTGTTGTGTTGTCTTGCCGTAAGTCACTCAGAGTAGGGCTTTCCTCTAAATCAGCAGTATAAAAATGCATGAAACAAACTTGACTTGCTCAGCAACTGATGCAAACTTGATTGAAACAACTCTGGGTTTACAGGCAATGACAATCGAACAAAGCAGAGGTTTATTCCTGCTCTCAGCTTTGCTTGAGTTCCTTTTTAATCATGCATTATAGAACTAAAAAATATGCATCAGTGCAAACCATTTTATTGTGTCTGTCACCCATCTAAAATCCCATATACAAATGGGCACCCTAAAGACAATTCACAAACAGTTTTTGCATTTCCTCACTTGCCATTAAGGCTCCTCTGATACAGTACATGTCTGAACCAAACATCTCCATTTCTATGTACCAATTCCAACTTTACAGCAATTTGCGGCAGTGAATTTCACAGGCTAATTAGAACTTCAGTTATTTAAAAAAGAAAAAGAAGATGTATCTCCCTTGTAAACCTGCTGGATCTTTCAAGTTTCCAATCAAAACTCTTGAGTTGTACTTACACACCTATCACCATGTTTTCTAAAGCTGACTAATCTAATTGTTTGAAATTCAACTTTTACAAGACAACCCTCAGCAGAATTAAAAGAGTATCAAGCTTGAGAGCCATATTCTTCCAGTTTATTCTACATAATACCTACATGTTCAGATCTCAGCAATAACTTGGGGTACTAAAAACATTTATACTTTGTTCCATATGTAGGCTTGAGATTAGTTTCACGCTCCCACTGAGTATGAAGAAATGGTTCTAATAAAGTATATTACATCTTAAGGAGCAATTGCACTGCAATACATTCCTCCAATTACTCTGGGATTAGCACAGTGCAAATTGAGAAAAAATTTCCAAACTACATGACATTACTGTAGGTGTGGGAAAAAAAAAACACTTATCTTCAAGCAATCATTTCTTTTTGAACATTTATTAGGAGATTGTTTATTTTCAATCGTTCTACATCACACTTTTTAAAACCATTTTTGGTTATGTGAATGGCCGTGTTTTTATATTCTGTGTGCAGAAGCAATTTTGGTGCTGTGTTTGAGATGGTATGGAATGCTGTCCCATCAGGAAACTAGCTATCATGTCTGATGTCTGAACTGTTTCTTTTTAATTTTTTTTTTAAATAAACAGTTTGACTTCAGCGCTGCATCATATAGGCACTGCTGTTGTTCTGTCTGTAACACTGATGCAGCACTATACCATTTAGAATACAAAAGAAGAGAAAAATTAACTCCAGTCAAGACAGTTATGGACAAGGACAGAATGGAAGCAATCAGGATTGGCCCATGAGTGGATCAACAAAAGAAGAGAAAAATTAACTCCAGTCACGACAGTTATGGACAAGGACAGAATGCAATCAGAACTGGCCCATGAGTGGATCGAAGTGCCAATTCCAGGTCTATTCAAGGGCACTTAAAGAGCGGTGCAGTCCCCTGCAACAAATCAACCTGGTTCATCTGCGGCTGCCCCATGAGGATGGGGATAGTGACACAAAGAGCACATGTCATGAATCAATACAATAATACCCTATTACAACTCTCAGATTATTTAGGCAATGTAGTCACTACATTGGGTTGAAAATAAAGCACTACCAAGTCAAAATGCTGAACACAAGAGCTCATTAAACACAGGCAATTTTGGCCTCAGACCACTCAAAGTGGATTCAAATTATATCAAAATTGGTGTAGATTGTGATTTAAAGCGTGATTTAAATTTTAAAACAGGACTTTTGATAACATGAATAAAAATGTTTTGATTTAAATCAATTTCATTTTTTTAAAAAAAATCACTTATTTTTATCTACCCTGTGGAATATACAATAAAGCAGCAAATTTTATTTTTTAAATAAAAAGATCCAAGGAGGATCTCAAGGTTAGGGGAGTCTGCCGATTTATCCCAGGTTTGAATACCTGTGTACTGTACTACTTGCAAGCAAACAGTCCTTGCACTTAGTAGGCCAAGACTTTCAACAAATCTTTGAGGTTGCTTACAGATTCCTTTTAGACATCCCAAGTATTTTCATCCGCAACACAGCCTTCAGGGGCTGAGACAGACTGACACCTGTTTTCCACTATGGACCACCCTGGAAAGTTACAGACTGAATGTCCCTCGGTCAACATCGGCTTTTGTAGCTGGACTTCTTAAATACACGCGTCCAGTTCACTCCTCATCATCTTGAATGCCCCAGCTGATGGCAACCCAGATCCCTAAAATCCCTGTTCGTTAATCCCCGATTAGAGGTGTGGAAGAAGGCGAGAAGGGAAACTATTTATGACTCCAGCGATCGGAGAGGGACAGGCACCCAATCCTTTCGCAAACGATACCCGGCCAACATGATTCACGCCTACTGACAATTCCTGCTTTAATCAATTCTAGGGAGTTTTGCTGCCTGCATTTTGGGAGCAAAAGAGAGAAAGTCGGGGGACGATTATCCTGCAAAACAATGCTGGCATGTTGCACCAGCCCCCGGGGGAAGCACTTTGCACGTGCTCAGGAACCACTCCTTGCTTTGCAGCCATCGTTTTGCACACACCCCATGGCTCTGCACGGGCAACCCCGGAAAGAGGACCCGACCTCTTCAGGCCACGTCGAAACGAAGGACTACAATACCCATCTGCTTCCCACCGGGTCTCCTCAACGAGAGGACCCGACCTCTTCAGGCCACGTCGAATCGAAGGACTACAATGCCCATCTGCCTCCCACCGCGTCTCCTCAACAAACCCCTCCCTCCCTCGCCCCCCCAAATTACCATTCCTTCCCCCCCTCTTACTTTCCGGCGGCGGATTCGCCGGGCCAGCTCGGTGGCGGAGAGGAGCAGGAGCGGGTGCTCAGGCGGCGGGACGGCCCGGGCGGCTTTCCGGGGGGCGGGCAGAGCGGCCACGACCGCCGCCGCCGCCTTCCCGGAAGAGAAAAGGGAAAGCAAGGAGGAAGGCGAGGGCGAGGCGGCGAGGGAGACCCGGAACGGGGCGCCCGCCACCAGGCCGATGAGGGCCAGGTGGAGCCGAGACAGGAAGCGCAGGAGGAGCACCAGGCAACGCTGGGCGCGCGACAGCGCCATGGCGACCCGCGAGGAGGAAGCGAAGCAGGACCGCGCGCGCGCGCACCCACCCTCCCTCGTGTGAAGGCCCGCGGGGGGGCGTGGCCACACAGGCGGACAACTCCGCCCCTCAACGGGGCGTGGCCGCCACCACACACACACCCCAGCTCCACCCCACCTCTGGCGTCAGTGGGCGGGGACACGGAGGAGGGGAGAGAACACCTTGGGAAGGGGCTTGGGAAGAGGCCGGAAGGTCGCGGCATGGGGGCGCTCGAAGGGGATTGTGGGAAGGAGGGTCCTTCTTCATGGTCACCATGGATACGAAAGTGGGGTCGCAGAACCCCACTTTTAAAGAGTCATTTAAAGACCTGGCTCTTTAGGCAGGCCTTCCCTCCAGTCAACTCCTGATTTTCTGTTTTCTTTAGTTTTTTTTCTCCATCTTGGATCTTCTAATTTGTTGATATAATTATGTTATTGTTTTACATATATAATGATGGTTTTTATTTGATTGTATTTTATAATGTTTTATTCTACTTTGTAAGCCGCCCCGAGTAGACTCTGTCTAGAGGGGCAGGGTATACATCGAATAATAAATAAATAAAATAAACCGGGATCGCCTGGGGTCAAGAGCCTCGGGGGAGACCCGGAACGGGGCGCCCGCCACCAGGCCGATGAGGGCCAGGTGGAGCCGAGACAGGAAGCGCAGGAGGAGCACCAGGCAACGCTGGGCGCGCGACAGCGCCATGGCGACCCGCGAGGAGGAAGCGAAGCAGGACCGCGCGCGCGCGCACCCACCCTCCCTCGTCGCCCTCCCGCCCGCCTTCTGGCTCCGCCGACAGAGGCAGCCGGCCCTAAAGCCGAGCCCAGGTGAAGACCCGCGGGGGGCGTGGCCACACAGGCGAACAACTCCGCCCCTCAAAGGGGCGTGGCCGCCACCACACACACACACACACACACACACACACACACACCCAGCTCCGCCCCACCTCTGGCGTCAGTGGGCGGGGACACGGAGGGGGGTGAAGAACACCTTGGGAAGGGGCTTGGGAGGAGGTCAGAAGGTCGCGGCATGGGGGCGCTCGAAGGGGATTGTGGGAAGGAGGGTCCTTCTTCATGGTCACCATGGATACGAAAGTGGGGTCGCAGAACCCCACTTTTAAAGAGTCATTTAAAGACCTGGCTCTTTAGGCAGGCCTTCCCTCCAGTCAACTCCTGATTTTCTGTTTTCTTTAGTTTTTTTTCTCCATCTTGGATCTTCTAATTTGTTGATATAATTATGTTATTGTTTTACATATATTGATGGTTTTTATTTGATTGTATTTTATAATGTTTTATTCTACTTTGTAAGCCGCCCCGAGTAGACTCTGTCTAGAGGGGCAGGGTATACATCGAATAATAAATAAATAAAATAAACCGGGATCGCCTGGGGTCAAGAGCCTCGGGTCTCTGGCGGGCAGGCAGCCTGTCATCATCTGCCACCCGTCTCAGCCTTTCCTGTTGCTTTTCAGTTTGTCCACCAGGTCATCGTAGCAATTGAGAAAGTCATGGATTCTTCCTGGAATAATACAGTACTTAGGTGCGACCCGCACCTATTGTCATGGAAAATAATTGTAAGCGGCTTAGATTTTAATAGGCAATTGAGAGTGACTTGGTTTAGAAATGTGGGGACGTGGGTGGCGTTGTGGGTTAAACTGCTGACGCCTCTATGCTGCAAGGTCAGAAGACCAGCAGTCGTGAGATCGAATCCACACAACGGAGTGAGCTCCCGTCACTTGTCCCAGCTCCTGCCAACCCAGCTGTTCGAAAGCATGTAAAAATGCGAGTAGATAAATAGGTACCACCACGGTGGGAAGGTAACGCCGTTCTGTATCTAGTCGCACTGGCCATGTGACCACGGAAAATTGTCTATGGACAAACGCTGACTCTATGGTTTGGAAATGGGGATGAGCAGCATGCCCTAAAGTTGGACACGACTGGACTAAATGTCAAGGCGAACATTTACTTTTACCTGGTTTACAAAATACTTGTTCCTTATTCGCTGATTCTGGACTGATCCTGCTCTAGGTTTGGACTCTCTTGGACCTCCCTCAATCGGAGACATCACCTTGTTGGACTGATCCTGCTCTAGGTTTGGACTCTGGGAGAAGGGCCTGACTGCAGGGACAGTCATGAAAAGCATTCACATTTTCAGACGGTCGCTATACAACCAAACACATTTCTTGACTTGCTGACAAAGCAAAAGGCATTGAAAGAACAAAATAATACTTTCCCTTTATTAAATGCAGCATTTAAATTAAATCTGGTCCATACGTGGAAGCGTGTCTGCACCTAAGTAGGTGGTAGGTTTAAACTTGGAGCAAAATAGTAGAGTTTTGTTAAATGCAGTTTGACCTCCCTCAATCAGAGACATCACCTTGTCACCAAAAGTCCGCATAGTCAAAGCTATGGTTTTCCCATTAGCGATGTATGAAAGTGAGAGCTGGACCATCAAGAAGGGTGACCGCTGAAGAATTGATGCTTTTGAATTGTGATGCTGGAGGAGATTCTTGAGAGTCCCCTGGACTGCAAGGAGAACAAACCTGTCCATTTTGAAGGAAATCAACCCTGAGTGCTCACTGAAAGGACAGATCCTGAAGCTGAGGCTCCAATACTTTGGCCATCTCATGAGAAGACTCCCTGGAAAAGACCCTGATGTTGGGAAAGTGTGAAAGCAAGAGGAGAAGGGGACGACAGAGGACGGGATGGTTGGACAGGGTCATTGAAGCGACCAACATGAAATTAACCCAACTCTGGGAGGCAGTGGAAGACAGGAGGGCCTGGTGTGCTCTGGTCCATGGAGTCACAAAGAGTTGGACACAACTAAACAACAACAAAAAAGCACAACAGCCAGGTGCTTTTATGCTTGCACAGTGCAGCTTCCTGCAACATTTCCCCTCTCTGCAGTCCTGTGGAGGTGCTGAGTCTAAGTTAGCTAGAAGGGCAAAGAATCTGACAAGGCAACTTCCTACATTTTGTGTCCTATGTGCAAAACAAGGGGTGAAAGAGAAGCTAATTGTGTTAGTTTGTCCCAGAAAAAATAGTCTAAATGCTATAGCATCCTATCTCTGGTTTAGTGGCAACATTTTTTTTCATGTAAGCTTTCATAGCGTGCATTCTGAATCTGATGCCACCTGCTGAAGCTTATGCCAGACAATACATTCAAGGTCTTTAAGGTGCCACTAAACTATTGGTGATGTATTGGCTGAGCATCTAGCTGAATATCTTGCTGTTGTAATGAACTAGGCTGGCTGCTTCAAGGAGCCTTGGTGTAACTTGACCATATTTATCTTACTGTAGTAGAAAGCAGAATCCTGATTGTATGACTGGGTTTTAATGCCAATAAAGGTTTTAATAATTTAAAAGATGTGTTTAACTGCACTGAGTATGTGAAAACAAGCTTCCATTCCCTTTGCTAACCATTGGTGTACATTAAATTGCTTTTCCCGTTTAGAAAACAAAGTCTCACAGACCTGAGTTCTGCTTTGGGATTGGCACGCCGAAAGCAAAACAGCCTGCCTAACTGGAGTTGTCAATATTCAGGTTTTACAAGTTCTGCTTTTGAAATGTTGTTTTGATGAATGCAGGCAAAAACATCATGCCTCTACAAATCCATATGAAGCATTTCCATCTGAATAGGAAGCACCTTTTGAAGAAGGGGAAAAATGTCTTACAGTTTCCTTACAAAAGGGAATAATAAAACACACACATGCACTCACATGTTCTTGCTCGCTCTGTCTCACACACACACTTAGCCCTCAGGCAGATCAACTACATCTAATTTTTCTTTTCTGGCATCTGTGGGGTAACAGAGAGCAGGAAAAAAAGTTCAGAAATGAGCATCCCACACATGAACAAAGCAGATTCCCTGTCAACAGATTTATTTCAACATAGTATGAGTTGGAAGATGCATCATTCATGCAGGCTATTAGGGCCCTTCAACAAGGATAGCTTCTGTTCCAGTTTTTGCTTGTAAACTGGTTTTTCCAACTCTGTTTCTGCAAACTGGTTCAAAAAGGGCATTTGCTGTAGGCAAAGAAGAAATGTTGTAAGTCATTGCATAGGAACTAACCACCATGAAGCTCTTCCAGATAGAGCATTTACTGTATTCTTCATGTACATTTCATTGACACTAATTTAATCTGTATTTTTCTCACCATGCACATTCTCCTATCTCGTTTGGTGCAATAACTCATTTAGTCATGGCCTCCCAACTGGAAGCTTTCAATTAGTGCTGAAATAAACAAAAACAAATATTCAGAAGAGAAGCAGCAGCAAGGAAGCAGATTTCCTAAAGGGAAGTGGTGTTCAGGATTCCTTCACATTTAAGCAAAAGAAAGAGGAAGGGGACATTTGATTTGTCTGGAAGAGTCATCAATCAGATGACCTAAGATATAAATGGCTTTTGGGGGGGGGACAAGCAAACAATTTTGTTTGTTTTTAAATTCCTTCACATGCAGGCTGGAATGGAGCAACAAGGATTTGGAATGTAAGCAATCTAGTTGAAGATGTATGGGGTGGTTTATCTAGCCCAGAAGCAATCTTAACTAACACAAAATTCCAGGTGAGACAAAATAGAATCTTCAGTACTGTGAACACAGGTTACAACAGCCCAATCCCCCAAATTTCTGAAAGGTGGGAAACATAAGAACTGAATTCCACCAAGATTTCAAAAGATGATGGCATGCCAGTTTTGAAGCCATGTTCTCGTGCAGTCATGTAATATCAAAAGAGTCTTATGATACTTTAAAGACTAAATAAGCTCATTTGGCATAAACATTTATGAGCTGCAGAACACTTCATCATGGTGTGTTGCATCTCTTGACAATACATTCATATGCTATAATGGGAGAGGACATGGGAACATAATGCAAAAAATACAAATACCAATTATTATTTTAACAGCGGTTGTTTAACAAAGAATAATTGTGAGGTGAGAAGGACATCGTATCTGACCAGGAGAAAATAAAGAGAAAGGGGAGATACTGTGATATACTGAAGAACTATACAGAAGAGATGCAAGGATGATAGGTTTCATTGACAAAGAAGCCTGTAATAAAGACCATGCAATTTTAGAAAGCGAAGCAAAACTGTTCTAAAAACATTTTAAGAAATAATGACAGATGGAATATTGACAAAACTGTTTGAAGCTACAGAAATGGAATCTGTTGAAATCCTAACAAGAATATGCCATAAAAATGAACAAGGAGTACATACTTTTATTATGGTAAAAAACGAGCACTCAAAAAAAATATGGGAAAGAAAACAATGGCCCACAGACTGGAAACATCCAATCTATGTACTTCCAATTCCCATGAAAGGAGATGGCAAGGAAAGCAGCAACAGTAGGACTGTTGGATTACTCTCCCATGCAAGCACAATGATGTTCAAAGTCTTTGATTGTGTGGATCATGAGAAGCTGTAGGTTGTTCTGCAAAGGATTAGTGTACTTAAACATTCGATTGTTCTCATGCATAATCTATATTGTGAACAAGAAGCTAGTGTTAGGACAGAACCTGGAGAGAAAAATTATAGGCAAAGGTGTCAGATAAAAGTGTACAGTATTTTATCTCATGTTCAATCTGTGTGCAAAATGTAAATGGAAAACTGGATTAGATTCAGATGAGGAAGGGGTGAAAATTGGTGGAAGAAACATCAATAATTCAAGACACGTAGATGACATCATATTACAAGTGGAAAGCAGCAATTGCTTGAAATGACTTCTCTTGAAGGTGGCAGAAGAAAAGGGAAACAGAAGACTGCAGATGAATATTAGTTACATGCCACAAAGTTGATTCTGACTTATGGTAACCCTTTTCAGGGTTTTCTAGGTACAGAGTACTTGAAAGTGCTTTACCAATCCCCCCCCTTCTGGGAACGACCTGGGGCTGTAGCTTCCCCAAGGCTACAGAGGCTGGCTTTTCTCTTGAGACACGACCTTCCAACCTCTAATTCATTGAGCTACCCAACAGTGGCTGAAGTCCTGTTGCTTATCATAGGAGGTGACATGACACTAGGGCCATGGAATCAGTGGAAATTTGGTAAGTTAACATTTCCATAAGTTCCACCGATTCAAATGAACCTACTCCAGTTGCTACTTTAGAATAGTAAGTCACAACTAGAGTAGGCCCATTTGAATCAGTGGAACTTACAGAGTAGTTGACTCACCAAATTCCCCACTGATTCCATGGGCCCACTCTAGTGTGATTTTATATGCCAAGCAACAGGATTTCAGCCATCAAGAATCATTTTAGAGGTCAGTCACTCACTGATTTGGTTGCCATAACTGGCAGAGAATGTGATGGCACATAACAATAGGCTTCCAACCCAAAAACATTTCAAGGCCAGCGCAAACAGAAAATCTAAACACTGTAATCTCACCAGCACTCCTAGAACGTGTTGTTTCACAATTAAGCTGGCATTAACCTTCATGGATTCCCTGCTCCCTCTTACAGTTACTCCAGTAATTTCACTTTTATTTATTTAATTCCAGTTTGTTTACTTTTCACTTTCAGTCTGGTGCCACAAATGCTTTAATAAATAGAATGTGCCAGAAACAAGAGCAAACTGAGAGGTATTTTGTGTTCAATAGGTGTGAAAGTGGCTTGTAAGGAAACAGAGAAAAGACACTGCAGTAAGAATCAGCAGAATGTGTATATGGATGAGGTACATGTGCGGAGAAGCATTCCATGTGTTGGATCTGGGGAGACCAATTTCTAGTCCTCATGACACTGAGGATGTGATAAGATGGCACGCAAGGCACACATCTGATTGCACCAGAAAGGATCGCCTTGCCAGGAGTGACCTTTAAAACAAACCTTCTGTCTGCCAAGAGATTGCTCTAGCCAAGCACCCAAAAGTGATAGCCCCACTGCTGAACCCAAAAGGTCCAGTCTTGGTCACCTGTCAGCATTACTGCCTGTACTTCGTGTGATTGCCAGGAAATCTCTTAGAGGAAACTGTGCCATAAGTGGTCCAAAATGTGAGCCATATGCCTGTAACTGCACCCTTAGCAGACGTCTAGTCCTATTCATCTGTAAACATTTGGGAAATCTCACCACATGAGCAGGGGAGCTCTGCCCCCCATCTCCTTCTATGAATGAGTCAGAACAGGAAACGCTCTGCTATGCCCGGGGATTCTCCACATGCATCACAACAAAGGTCATGGATGGTCAATCAAATGTTTAAGCACACCTATTCCTTTCAGAACAGCCCACAGCTTCTCATGATCCACACAATCAGACTTTGAATATCATGGTGCTTGCACGGGAAAGTAATTCAATGGTCCTATAGTTACTGCTCTCCTTGGCATCTCCTTTCATGGGAATTGGAAGCAGATTGAATGTGTCCAGTCTGCGGGCCATTGTTTTCTGTTCCATATTTTTTGAGTGCTCACCTTTTACCGTAATAAAGTATGTACTACTTGTTTGTAATTTCTGGCATATTCTTGTTAGGATTTTGACACATTCCATTTCTGTAGCTTCAAACAATTTTACTAATATTCCATCTGTCATTTATTTCTTCAAATGTTTTTAGAACAGCTTGGCTTCACTTTCTAAAACTGTATGGTCTTCATTACAGGCTTCCTTGTCAAAGGCACCTCTCAACCTTGCATCGCTTCTGTGTAGTTCTTCAATATGTTACAGGATTCTCCACGTGCACCACAACCCTAGAAATCAGGATCCTAATTAAAATGGAGAAGTCTTAATAGATACTGGAGGCTCTCCTGTGTAGATTTTTAATCCTCCATGTTTTTAAGATGATAGAAGTAATGACAGGAACAGAACTTATGTGCTCAATTCTATGTGTAATGATCGATCATTCCTAAATATTAACTGAGTACTGTACATAATTTCTCACACCTTGACCTGCTTTCCAGGGTTATTTTGAGGATATAGACAGGAAGAGGAGAGTCATGTATGCCACCTTGATCTCATTCAAGAAAGATGACATAAATATATCCAATAAGTACATACGTAAGTAAATAGCCATTAGAAAGAGGGGGTGTTCTGATTAACAAAGCAGGTGGTGTAGGTCAATAACTACTTTGAAAAATGCCTGCACTGTACATAGAAGCTTCCAAGTTAATCTCTAACACCTTCACTATTAAAATAAATATAAATTATACAAATAAATAAAATAACATAAACATCCAAGCTGTTCTCACTTCTGTCTTCTCTCAGTAACCCTAGTACAGTTCATATGCTCATCTTCTGGAATCCTCAGCCACTGAGGGAAATTTCTGATTGAATTTGGGTGTAGCTTATGTCTATTTAAACTCCCAGTTTAAAAAACCAGGAAATTCAATTCTTAAAAAAACCTCCGGTTTATGTATGTGGGATATTGTACCCATGATTCAGAACGCCAGGAAATGACCCAAGATTGCTGCCCAATATTGTGCCTGCGTTGGCAGCAGGAAAAAGGATGGCAACATTTACGTAGCAAAGGGGCAGCCCGAATGTTGACTGCACCCATGGCAACAATCAAGATGGTCTTCCGGATGCCCTCTTGTGCTCAATATCATTCATAAAGTGACACCATGCAAAGGAAAATCCCAGGTGATTTTTTTTTTAAAAAAATCTGTTAACACACTCCTCACCCAAACACAAAACAATGGTTTTTCAACAAGTGTTGAGGTAAAAAACAAACCCTTCCTATTCCATGTGGGGGGGGAAACACATCTGGACTTGTCAAACCTTTCATCAGTACTGGCTACGGGAGAGCATCTACCGTACCTCAATACTAGTGGGTAGAGGGTTAGGACCCTTGGCAAACCCTCTGTCTTCCAACGCCTTGCCGCTTGAGGCAATTGCCTCACCAAATGGTAGGGCTGGCCCCACTGCGAGTCCAGAAAGCGAGCGCCAGTCAGCTCAGATCATACTGACCCAGACAGACAAAAGGCCTGCCTTGCAGGTCGGCAGCCTTCTTGTTTTGATTCATGAGGTGTGTGATTTTACACAACAACACAAAGTGGAGTATGAAACGAGGGAGGTCACGGATTAGGATCCCACTGACAAAGGGTCAGGACTGGCTCAAGATGTTGTTTTTTTTCCTTAAGGGATGATGATGTCATTTCCGTAAACCACATAAATCGGTTAAGTACTGACAAGCGAGCAATTTTTTTTCCTTAAGGGATGATGATGTCATCTCCATAAACCACATACAGTAAATCGGTTAAGTACTGACAAGGGAGCAGCACCTTCCACCATCCCTGAAGTCAGTGGCCAGTTCTGGAAAACAACGCCGGCCACGTGGCACGCACAAGCTCTGTTGTCTAATGGAAGGAGCAGCTGGGGGCTCCAAATAAACAGCTACCTACATACAGTTGCCTCCCCACCCCTGGCCTTTGCCACATAAGGCAGAGGAATAAATCAAGGAGGTCTGATTTTTGTCTGCCACTGTGACTACCCTCCTATGCAGCATAGATGCTCCTCCAGAGCTGTGTCATGAGCGCTGCAGAGCCTAACCGTAACCACACGATGGCTCCACGGTCCTCATCTTCTTCCTGTATTCTGCATTTACTGCTTTTCCCAGAAGTTTTCTGTTGCTCGTAGCTAATTGTGAGGATACCTACCAGAACCAGAGGTTCAGGGTTGTTTTATTTGTGGGATCACACAACTCTGGCATGCAAGCAAGCTTTTGAAGATCAACAGCACTGAACAAAAATTCTGGCAACACTAGTTTAGTAAGCAGGTACATCCATTAGGTCATTTCCTGTACTTTGCCTTTAATGGAACCAAGCAGGGCCTGCAAAAAAGGTTGCATGCAGTGTTTCAGTCAGCTACGCCCTCTTCCAGGATACAGTGCGCGCATTTCCCCATTCCATTGAATTCCCATCCCCTTTCCAACCCCTAAGTTCTAATTTAAATCTTGGCACTTTAATATTTTCAGGCAGCGTCTAAAAACATTTCAAGCCCTTTTCAATTAATACCATGTCCTGCAATAGCGACACTAAAAAAAAGCAACTTAATATTCTCGAATAAATATAGAGGGTTTACAGTAGGGGTAGCAAATGGCGAGCCTCCAGATGTTGCAGTGAAATTTCTGGCAGCCTAAACCAGCACATCCCAATGGTGAAGAATGCTGGCCACTTCACCCCAGCAACATCTGGCTATCCCCAGTAGGAGCTATTGACAGTGATGGAAGCTTTTGGTTTGAAAAAGAATAAAGCAAGGACTTTGCAAAGCTGGCATTTCCAAAATTCAGACCGTTTGTATTGATTCCACTTCAGATAAAGTTAGATCTGCCAAGTCAAAAGTTTAACACAAATGGAAAAACACATGGGCTGAAATCCAACAGTAAGTCACGACTAGAGTAGGCCTGGTGAACCACTGGGGATCTGATGAGCAATTTCTCCCTACGTTCCATTGGTCAGGTTGGGCCTGCTCTGGTTGCGGCTTACAGTTGGATATCAACCAAGGAGAAGTTGCTTGGAGATTCAGATCCTAATTGTCAAAACCATCTTCCATCAGTGCTAGAGAGCAGCCCCCTTTTTCTTAACAGCCAATGCAATGCTTTGAAGTTTGTCCTTTCGCCAAAATTAACATCTCAAAAGCACAATTAATGCCAAATATGCTAGGAAGAAAGCATTATATTTCAAAGTGGCATGAAAATAATAATCTTTTCCAATAAAGAACAGCTATCAAATGGGGAATTATTGTTGGCCATCAAATAGCAATATTATGATTTACGTTTTTATCTTGTCCTTTGTCTAAGGACCTTGGGGCAATTTATAGAGTTCTTACTGTTCCTCAACTGTGAGGTAGGTTTAGGCTGAAAGAACATCCGGACTTGCATTTCCATGCTTCTGGTTTAACATAAACCACCATCATCATATTATAACACTGTCCTACCCCTACGGATCTGAAGTAAGTAAATATTTTAAACTTCAGAAGACAGCATTCATTTTCAGGGGTTCCAGAAATGCAAAATGACTTTTGATTTAGCATTTATGTTCTACAGAACTAATACAGAGGTGTTCAGAAATGTAGAAGCACAAGGCTATGTATTCTTCTGAGCTGTGTAACGTTTCTGCAGAGACACTGACCACATTTCTCCTTCACAAAAAGACCCTGGTATGATCTGTTGACATTTGGATTGTTAAGAACCTTGAATTTTCCTCTGCTAACCCAGCATAGTTTGTTAATCTCATCTCAGTCTACGATTTGTTGCTGGCTTAATAACTCTGGCTTGTTTAAACCACGTTGTGTTGTGACATCTGATGCTGCAATGGTGGCTTGCCCCTAGACAATACCCTCTGCTACTCAGCCTAAAACAGGAGCTGAGAAACAAACAAATCAGAAATAAACCATTAGGGAATAAAAGCCATTTAATTGGTGGCCTACTACGCAGTTTGTATCCTAGGAACAAACCACAAAGCCATGGATTATTGTGACATGTGAATGTAGCCATGGCCTAGCAATTAATTGCAGGTACATATATTTGGAGAATGAGCTGTTGTGTTAAACATAGTTCTATATTTTAACTCAACTATTGAAACTAGAATAATAACCTCAATCCTAAAGATGTAATTCAGCTCAATAAATGCAGGGTTTCCTTGTGCAATGGCCATTAAATGGAAAATGCCCCCCTCACTCAGGTCTCTGGAGGTATGACTTTCCATTTTGGGCCCAATGGGTTGTTGCCGATAGTGAAGCCTAAAGAAACTGCATAATTCCCACCCTTTGGCTTATAAATGCATTGCAAACATCAGCTGCCTGATATGGTTCGGTGTGGAAAAAAAGCACATGAAAAGAAGCCTATGTGAAATAAGAGCTGGTCTTCTCACAGCAGCTGTTTGGCAAATCCTCCACACTTCTGCACTCACACTGCTTCATTGTTTTCACAAGGGAATCAATATGATTGCCGTGTACGCTGTCTTTTGTAGAAGATGAGCAGCTTCTCGGTGCAATATCAATCAACCCAATGAGAAATATTTGTATTGCCACTGTTTTGAGCACTACAACGGGGCTCCGCTTGCCACCTAGAATCTATGGCGGCCCTTCCCCAACCTTAATCTTTTCAACTCCGACTCCCCCTCCATCATTCTTCCCCTCATGACTGCTGAGCTGTTCAAAGCTTTCAACGGCAGGCAGACACACAAAAGCGTGCAAGGCGGCAATCTCATGTCAGCCTGTTGCTTTATTCATCTCTGTCGCTGCGCAAACTCATAGCTCCACAAACCCAAAGGTCTATATTCTCTGTAAGGCACCACCTATCACCTCTGGCTTCCCAGGATCAAGTGCCTTACTCACCAGCTAATCTACAGCAAGCAACATGCACTTGCCAAATAAAAAATGGGAATTTACATATTGGACTTCAACTGCAGAAAAATGCCAAGGAACACAGCCAGTTGTACTGTTTGCGCATGGACATGCTTGCTGGGGTATTCAGAGAACAAGGAATTGCAACATCTTTATTTAACCCCAGAAATATCAAAAAGAAGGGAAGTTTTGAGTCTAGCATGACATTTCTTCAGGCTGGGCTTGAGCGGACAGAGAGAAAGTCCCCTCCAAACCATATTGACCAGATGTCCAGGGTCTACGCTCAAGTAACATCACATGACATTGCTCTTGCATTTCACCCCAGAGCTCTGCAATCCAAGCCAGAAGAAGCATTACAACTGGCCTTGAAAGCTCACTTATTTCTAATATTTGTGTGGTCGATTCAAAGGAGCAACCCACACTTGTTTCTGAATATTGTAAGAAGGACCACATGCGGGGGTTTTGGTGCATCTCAATGGCATATTTTATTCTGACCCAAATGTTTTTGGGACTACAACTGCCATTATCCCTCCCTCTTAGGTATGTGAGCTAGGCTTAACGGTTATGACCCTCAGTACTAGCTAACATACAGCCGATCGTCTCAAGAAACATTTGGAGAGCAGTCACCTCAAAACAAAGGCAAACGAAGGCTCTTTCTTGCCACAGGAGTTGTTCTCTTTAAATATAAAGACAACCTGCCCTGTATAGACAACAAACACCATGAAGGGAGAAAAGAAAAGAAATAGGAGAAAAACAATGGGCTAGTTATTGAGGTGAGAATTATTTAGCTCATCCACGACGACAGTCCTTCTATTTTCTTGAAGAGCGTCCAACCAAAGACTGCCACATCTCCTGTTCTTGGAGCGACTGGTCTGCATCTTAGTGATAGATGGGGTGCTACTCCGAAGGAGCAAGCTTGCTGTGAATTCTCAGTAAATCTGCGGGTCCCCCTCCCATTTCATGGGTCTCCGTTCACCACTGTGGTCCCATCCGTCAAGCGTAATCCAGTCCATCTGCCTCGGCTTGCCTCAGTAGTATGCGTCTTCATACAAGTCGGTGCGCAGGCAGTAAAGGATGGCCGCCCCCAGCATGAAAATGCCCGAGCCCCATCCCAAGCCGTAGCCCCAGTTGAATTCATGGTAGCTCTTCAGCAAGATACTGTCAATGAATTTGATTGGGTAGAGAATTAAAGCACAGACCTGCAGGACCACTAAATCAATGGAAGAAAAAAAAATTAAGGTCAGTTAAATTCAAAAAGAATGGCTGAGACTAGAGATGGACATAAGCCACCGGTTCAGCGGTTCATCCTTTGGATGTACAGGTGTTCAGTGGTACCCAGCCCCGCCTCCTCCAGTGGGCACCCAATCAAGAGCCACTGCCCCATCTTCTCTGCCCTGCCTCCTCTGGACACTGCCTCTGGATGGATGCCTGCCAGAGGAGGCAGGACTGGGAAGTGCTGAACACCTGCTCATCCAGCACAAAACCTCCACTTCATGCCAATCTCTAGTTGAGACTCTTCTTTTATCAGACAGTTTTGTTACATCAGGGTCAAAATAACCATGGACCTCCAGATGATCTTGTTGGGAGATTTTGCAACCTCGCATGCTGCCTTTAATAGATTTGACTGAGAGAGGTTTTTCTGGGCTGGGGTGACTGTCTATCTATCCAGCACTAACCATGAGTTCCCTCCTGCCCCTGATTTCAAAAAGAGTCCTGCCTCTCTACTGAGAGTTTTTTTCCCTCTCTAGAGTCTGCTGATATCTCTTGCTGAAAGCAGTCGTGTTTGTCTGTTTGCTGTTTGATCTGTTCAACTGTAAGTAATGAAACCTTTTTATTCTTTCTACTATTAATGTCTCAGAGTTATTAAGGCTGTAAATGCCTGTTGATGAGAAAAGGGGTGGGCTACTTGAAGCTATTCTCCTGTGTAAATTCCTGGATTTTTGCTGTGCTGCAAAAATGGAATTAAATGGGAAATTCAAATCTCTGCAACAGATTTTGACTGCAACTTTCATCTCCTCCAGCCAGCACAGCAACTAGTGGGCAATTATGAGAGCAGCAATCCAAAAACAGAAAGGAGGAACTTAGAGAAAGTAGTATTTTAGGTAACATTCACAAGAACAAAATTTGCCCTTCCATGCCAATGGAATAGCACAGAAAGTTAATTCATTGGGGAATTTTGTTCCTGAAGGAGCTAGTACTTAACAGAGCAATGCCCCACTTAGTGCTCAGGATATGTTCAAAGAAAATGGAGTGCTAACTGAATTATCAGTAAGTAAACAGGGCAGTTCTTGGGCCAGCTGCACAGTCCCAGGGCGCCCTCCAGAAGAAGGGAATGGTCAACCACCTCTAAGTATTCTCTGCCTGGAAAACCCTGAAAAGGGTCACTATAATTAACAGCATACCTTTGAGTAAGGGTTCTGGAGGTCTGGTCTACCTACAACATGGAGCAGGTAGTCTGAGGCCCAGGTTTCGTGGGGGTTTGTCTGTGTTTGGTGTGGGGCAAGTAAACTGGGCCCTAGCCCCCCCCCAAAGTCCAGGCACCCACTTCATGCCTCCATCAAGCACCACCCGAAGATGCACGCTATAGCAAATCAGTGCTATAGCAAGCCCCATTGTGTGAGCGATCACTGTAGTTTCCACTAGCAGAGCATAGGGAAGAGAAGACACATACAGTACCTGCTATGAAAAGGAGAACGGCCACAACTTGGTAATACCGCTTGTAGGTGCCCAGACAAAACGAAATCAGAGATGTGAGGAACGACACCAGAGTGACAGTGGCTGCAGTCAGGATTAATACCAAGGTAGCTACTTGCCAATCTGAGGGAAGAAACCCAGAAAATAAAAATATTGAACACCTTTTTTTAGAGCAAAGCTTTCAAAAATATACCAGGGACATGGTGGCACTGTGGGCTAAACTGCAGAAGCCTGTGCTGCAGGGTCAGAAGACCAAGCAGTCGTAAGATCGAATCCACGCGACGGAGTGAGCGACCGTCGCTTGTCCCAGTTCCTGCCAACCTAGCGGTTTGAAAGCATGTAAAAATGCAAGTAGATAAATGACCACCTCGGTGGGAAGGTAACAGCGTTCCGTGTCTAATTCGCACTGGCCACGTGACCACGGAAGATTGTCTTCGGACAAAACACTGGCTCTATGGCTCTGAAACGGGGAGTCGAACATGACTGGACAAAAATTGTCAAGGGGAACCTTTACCTTTAAAACATAATTTTTAAAATATTTAAATGTAATTTAATATGCATTTCCTTTCTCATCCACATGTACATACACTCGCTCGGTAAGGGAAGGCAATACTTTCGTGGATCTGTGGGCTGTGGTCCAGAATAAGCACAAGCTATACATTTGTTACACATTTAAACTTTCATCGAACTTGGTTGCTCTTGTTCCAACCGACAAAGACAACTGGCTTTTAGGAAAACAATTTATAATCTGACACGGCTGACACTGAAGGAATATAAACCCTGATTTATTACTTTGATATGTGTTTCCTGACACACTTCTGGAGGCATCTCGCTTCGAACTTCACACTTGATAATGACTTGACCCCTGATTAATATCTGAATTGGGTTTCTTTCTCTTTGAAAACTTGTTTTGTAAAAAGTGATAATGGTTTGTTTTTAAAGAAACATCAGGTTGTGGATAACAACAGCAGATAACAACACAATCAATATAGCATTTCACACCTACTAATGGCTTAAGACATCCTGACTAATACTTAACCCATTAAGATGGGTGTCTTACATCCATATGTATTTCATCTCAGGTGTTTCTCTTTGAAGTGTTGTTCTGTAATGTTTCTTTTCCAGGATTGTGAGTTTAAAATCCTGCAAAGAGTGTCCAGGTCCATTGATATGTTCTGAAACAGGTTTCTGTGTATTGCCATTTCTGGTCTGGCTTATGCCTATTTGTCCCACGTAGAGTGTAGAGAGGCATTGTTGTGGCCTACAGTCACGTTGCCAGAGTCGATGTGGGATAGAACTGGCATCTGGGTTTGTAGCAGGGTTTAGTTCCCATCTCTGTATCCATGTTGTGTGGGCCATTGTGTGTCAACAGTTGCTTGATATGGGTGTGGTTGTGTGTCTGTAAGCAAATATATCCCTGCCACCAAGGGCTTGGAAGAGTGAAGAATTATTCTCAAGGATGGGTTGAAGATCATTTACGATCCATGCGAATGGCGACAGCTGTGGACTGAAGGTGACACCTAGTGGTGTTTGGTCATTTCTTCTTTTGGGTCTGCCTTGCAGTAAGTTGCTTCTGGATATTTGTCTTGCCCAGTTAATGTGTTCCTCAACCATGTTGGATGGGTGTTGCAGTCTAAAAAAACCTTTTGTAGATCCTTGGGTTTGGAGTCTTGTGGCTGAAGGAGACGAGCCTGAGCTTTTTCTCAACACTAACTTGAAAAATTCTCTGCAATCGCTTTTGTAGGATTATATTGAAGTCTGTGTGAAATTGGTTAGGGGGGGAAAAGATTTAATACAAAAATTATCGATGGTCCATGGGTTTCTCCTTGTAACTGAAAACCTATGATGAAGACAGTCACAGAAACACCCTTTTAGTTTTAAAGCCAGTGTCTGAAGGTACTAATTGCATTCTGGGGTTTGTTTAAAATGTGCAAGATTAGAGAAGACAATTTAGGAGCCAGTAAACGTCACAATATATTTCAGAATTAACACTATAACGCTAATTCAACAAGTTAACATTTATACAGTGTTAAAAAACAAACCTGACATTTAACACCAACAAATTAATTTTCACAGATAACACTCCAAGTTCCTGTTTCTCCTCTACAGGGATTTTACTCCATCAATCTGTAAAATTGAGGAGGGACCTAGATGCTGGAGGGGGGAGGCAGTGATGCTTTCTGTGGCCTCTTATTTCAGGTGTTAGCAACCAGGAACCAGTATGCTGCTTGTTTCTCTTGGCCAGGAGAGTGTTTTAAATACCTCAAAAGTGCCTGCAAAAGATTTTTGGCAGACCTGTAGCGTCCACCATATATCAGAGGCAACTTGACAGCACATAACAAGAAGAAAGCCAAGAAAGTTTTAGTTCTGGTGGTTAGAGTATTAAGGGGATGGCCATCATCGTTAAATGAAAAGAAAGGCAGTATAGTAACAGAGAGACCTCATTAAATGCGTGCAATGATTTTAGTCATTTAAAACTAGGCCATGATAGTAGTTCATACTCTTTTTTTAACCATTCTGTACTTTTTAATTAAATTAGATGCAGTATGTTCATCTACACCCCTGCAGCGGGACATATTCCTTCCTCTTTTCTGCATTTCTCTGCACCCCTCCCCTCCCTTTAACATTTCTTTTTTTTTTTTTTTTTTTTTTTTTTTTTTTGTTTTTTTTTTTTTGCATGGCTGTATTGGTCTTGGCTACATACTGATCTGGGGTATTTTTTTTCCTGTTTCTGCACTGCATTATCCTCAACGGCAGAGAACCCACAGCCATTCTGACAGAATCACACCAACACGCCAACACTCGGGTTCAAAAAATGTAAAAATAAAATAAAGGGACTTGAACGACAAATGGGTGGGTGCGCTGACCACATGCCAGATTTAATGAGAAAAAATGGTTTAGTAGTGCACGCACAATGGTATTTCGGGTGTAATGCATGATGAAATGTGGATAAAATATACTAGAGGCCTCCCAATGGGCTGGATTTGATCTGGAGATAGCACAGAGAGGGAGCAAAAATTCGCTAATAGCCATGCGTTGTATGAATAACAACAAACTTGAAATTCATAAGGAATAGCTAGGAAACATTTTCCAGGTGTGACCGTCGCCTGAATCTCTTCCATTTCCGTCAGTGGGAAAATATGGAACGAAAGTGTTCCAACTGTGCAGGTTTTCTGGAAGAGTGAGGGGGTGAGAAATGCCTTCTATTCCTTCAAGCCTTCTTCCCTGAAGATTTTGCAGATTTACAAACTTTGTGGTCTCTCCAAATCGGCTGATTTTTATAGACTACAGGGTGTGTTTCGATGGCCCCAAATGGCAAATACATGATGTGGCGCAGTTGCACCAAGGCATAGATATTCAGAGATAGGAAAAGTTGGCTTCTTTGCCCACGGCTGTTCGGAGACCGAACCTGTGGCTACGGTCAGCGTAACACTTTCGCATGCAGACCCACAGAAAAAAGCGTAAACCCGGGACGGGGCTTTTATTAGATCAGCTTTGGTTTGTGTGAGGCACAGGCAGAGTGAAGCATCTGGAAGCAGCACCCAGCCTTTCGCTATTCATCTGTTTGGTCACAACAAAAGGCCTCATTCCTAGCTACACTCACTCAGCAATTAATTGTGTCCTGGGTTAGACCTTGCCCCCAAACAAAGGGTTCAGGGAGATTTGCAAGGCAGGAAAGGAAAGGGAGAGAAAGAGGCCTCCTTAGAGGGAAAGAAATAGACTTAAATTATGATACAAGGCCTCCACAGCTTTTAAAGTCATCACTTCTTTGGCGCCTGCCTCATTAAGGAGACAGGGATCGAGAAACATTCCACTGGATTTGCCAAGTCTTAAGTAGCCTTTCCCCATGCCTTGGCTCATCATGAGGAGGGTTCGTCACCTCGTGAGTCTGCATATTTTTGAAGCTTTAGGGGGCATTTCAGAGAAATGAAGTGTGCAGAGAAGAACATGAACACTTGACAACACGAACAGCTAGAGACGCCACCTAAGTTTTTTTTTAAAATGCACAGAAACATGCTTTAGCCGAAGACAGACACGTGACAATTAGCTAAAAGCATTTCGCATGTACTGTATATGTTAAAGCTGCATACTGCTTTCAGTAGTTGACAATTAGCTAAAAGCATTTCGCATGTATATGTTAAAGCTGCATACTGATTTCAGTAGTTTTTGGAAGAGGTAGCCGTGTTAGTCTGTGCGAGCATATCCGGCAAAATCCACAACAAGACAGAAACATGTGGCAGCTTAGAGAGTAACTATTATATTTTAATTCGAGCTTTCATGGATATGTCCACTTCGTCATACATACAGCAACAGAACAAAATGTTGAATGAAGTATCAGTTACGTAAGGAGAACCTTCTAAATATTCATTGGCTCTGGGTCGTGTAGTACATTTGCATGGAGTAATTTCAAATATTCATTGGCTCTGGGTCGTGTAGTATATTTGCATGGAGTAATTTCTGGCTTATCTTGTTTTAGGGCTCTGTTGTAAAAATTCCTCCAGGAGACAGAAAAGAGACACCAGGCCTGGGCAAAGATGAAATGGGAGAGAGGAGGAGTGGGGGGGATGTTGAAGACTGGGAATTCGCCTAAAATATGACAGGGAGGGGTAAAAGAAAATCTGAAAGAAAAAATGAAGGTGTAGATAAAAGTGAAGGAAGATAGCAGAGAAATCACGTGTTAATGTAGGGAAGATCGACAGTTTTTGCCTTTGGGCCTTTTGAAGAGAGGTGGGTGTGGAAATTGTGAAGAAAATGACAGTGACAGTACTGTAGGTAACACCAGAAGTATTACATTTGGTAATGATTTAAGAAACCTAGGCTTATGTTCAATCCATTTATACTGGTGTCCATCAGGCATATACATTTTCTCTCCCTCCTCACCTTTGTCCAGGCCTGGTGTCTATTTTCTGTCTCGGGGAGGAATTTTTACAACAGTACCCTAAAACATAAGCCATAAACCTTCCCAGTGGCTGGGTTCCCGGATCCGCTGCAGCATCCTAAAAGTGATCCTGCCGGTGGAAATAAAAATGGCTTTTCTGCTTTAAAAGATAAGTCTTCCATGTCTCTCGAGCTGAAGGAGCAAGCCGGGGGTGGCAGGAGACTGTGAAAACAAGCAGGTGGTC